TCCCACCGCCCCGCCGCCGCCCATCTCGCTCCTTGCGCTGCGCGAGGCGCGTGGGCCACAGAAGCAGTCCCCGCCGCCCCGAGGGCGAACAAAGCTCCGAATAATGTCCCCCTCCTCCTCCCGCTCTCTTTGCAGAACGCGCGCCGCAGTGCTCTCGCATGGCGCGTCTGTTGAATTAACACAAAACAGTGATTGATAGTGTTGGAAATGTTTGCTTGGCGGGTGTCGACGCATTGCGAATAAATCAAATAGCGTTTGCTTTCAGTTCGTATTTCTTTCCTCTCCATGCTGTGATGTTTCATGATAGTACTTGATTCATTTCATCATCAACAGCATTATCAACAATATTAGTACTATTATTATAGTATGATTATATTATTTTTAATAATGTTATCAGCATGAGCTGTATAATCATTCCGCTATTGCATGATGTGTGGTTTCCGAGCAATATTTAGATCAAAAATGTGTCTTATTGTGAGATGTCTTAACTCATTAAGAAATATTACTGATCTGCTTTACACTAAATGGTACAGGCTATTGAAAATAACTAACGGATTAAGCTTACAAGAACTTTCAAGTTAATTGAAAAAAGGAATAAATTATATCAAGTAGTACTGATAATTGAAAATGTTGCATGCAATTTGATAGTGCAACCTTCTTTTCCAATCCGGAGCAAAGGGTATTTTCCCTTTGGGTGCAAATACATCAAATTGCGATAATTTGGTGACTTCTAAACACTTCTTGCATTTCAAAAATATATTTTTTAAATGATTGCTATCCGTTTTCAGTTGAGTTTCAAACTTCTCCAATACGTTTCTCTTTTTTTCTAAAGGTTTTCTTAACTTACTAACGTTCTTTAAACTGATTTTATCCATCTCAGTAACGAATTTTCAAGTGGTCTTTTATTTTTTCGGTCTATGCATAACTGCTTTACTTACTTATACCCCTGACCTTGGCCGTAACGCTCTTATTACCAAAAGCCAACGCTCATTTTCCCATTACGCGAATGGAAGTGTGCTACATGATCGTAGAGGTCGGGGGTTGTGAGAAACTCACTACCTAGGGAGCGTGCCCCTTCATTACTGCCCGCAGAGAAACGTGGATCTAGTAGCACCGTTAGAAGACTTTGCGCCAGGTTAGAAAGGGCCACGAACTAAATGAATTTGCTTACGGTGTCTGCTTATGAGCCCCAAAGGTGGTTGAAGGGCAGCGAGCTAGCTTTCCGTGGCGCGATGCCGGGTTGGATTTCCGGACGGGGAAATGATAAGAGATGTAGCTTTTTAATATAATCGTCGCGGTTCCTGAAGGTATGGGACGAACGAAAAGCTCAGAGAAGCCAAGTATGGTAGAAATGGTGAAGGTAGGGCGAAGTCATGCTCACCATATGTTTGCCTTATTACAGGAATTACTAATATTAAAGATCCAGTGCTCAGACCTGGGAATCTCACTAGTGAGAAAATCAAATTAATCCGATAATAAAATGCTAAAATTGATCATCTGCTTCTGAAAAGTAGGAGATCATTAACCTCATCAGATACACACATTAGACATGTGGATCGTACTTACGCCTCTCAAGAAGTTTTCAAAATTTTAGACCGATATGATAAATATTAAATATCTTTACGATAAAGACGATAAAATAAGTCAATATTTTCCTTTTGTCAAAAGAGTGGTTCACTAAATGAAGCTATCCAGGCAGTTTCTTTTATAAAATGAGAATCTAAAAACACAATTAAAATGTGAAATAATCTGCTCAAATACACCCAGCGATTTAAGTGATGTATTTCTACATTAATAAAAAAATTGGTTAACGTAACTCAATAATTTCGAGAACGTAGGTGAAAAAAAAAAAAGAATTTGGAACGATAGTTCCCTGCAATTCATGAACATTTCTTAGACTTTACCAGTAATTCATGACCATTTTCGTTTTACATTATGTTCCGTATACGCTTCTAAAGATTAGTTACATCTCGAAATTTCGCATTGCATTCATCACATGCAGGTTCTAATAAAACGTTTTGGGGCGTTCAGAAAGAGAGTGGATAAAAAACATTATTTTCTAGCTATGATATATTCTATTAAAAAGAAATGTTGTTTAAAAACTGTCATATACACTTAATAAGTGTATGGTTCAGTTGTACATTGATATTTTGAGCAAACTGAGTGAAGTTAGTTCTCGTTTATATATGACTACACGAGTCCCAGGGAACGCTTAGAATGTAAACAGTACATCACCCTATCTCTCGTAAACGAGCCCTGGACTTAAATAGCTTTCATGCATTTCACTGGGGGCCTCGTGAATAACACATGAGAAATAAAGTCGACCTACGTCAAACAGACTGTCAGATTCACATTAGAGCTATTCCCAGTCTCCAGCGTTTTGGTATGTCAGGTTTTGAGTTAACTACCCTTAAAATCATGCCGTTCCCAACATTTTGGATTGTTATAAATAATGAGAAATTGAACCTGTAAATCCCCATAAACACAAACAAACACCTGTTTATATTCTACATATTCATGGACAATAAATGAATATGCGTATGTGCTTAATGTAATGATGGAGTTCAACAAGGGTTGCTGGAATTTATGCTTATTTTATCTTCTTTGAACTTCCTTTCTCTCAAGGCGAAGGTCATGACCTTTTATTTCACTATTCAGATTAAAACCGTTACTACATGACAATGATGTACGTACTATGTGTAGTAAATTCACGCAGAATAACTTTCTTACAGAAAGTGTGCAAATGAATAGGAGATTTGGATGAAAATCGAATAAAACAGTATGTTTATGTAGGGATTGGTTCATTAAAAAAACAATATCAATTTATCAAAATACAATATCAATATCGCTCAAAATACATTATCATTTACAACAAAATTAATTCTCTCATATGTAGTCTATATCTAACCTCTCGCATCTGCTGAAAAAAGATGTGCGTCACCATAAGTGTTCATAAATAAGTTACACATACATACATATAATATACAAATGACTGAGCACTACCGGAAAAATAGATGTGTTATGATGTGTACAGATGGATATAGATGTGTTATCTTCATTAATAATAAATGGTCAATTTTGGAGTCTGAGGGTTTTTATAATTACATTGTTTCACCCAAATAATATATTCTTTCGTGTAATAATATTGGCAGCATTAACCAACAAGTAGGGAATACGACGTTCCTGATAGAAAAAGTGGACAAATAATCAGTTGAAGGGGTATTTTTTCGCTAATGTTTTCCTGTTGAGTGTACAATTTACTTATTTTCAAATGAACAGCCGTTGTCATGGCATAGTTTATTACTACATTTTCCAAAAAAAAAAAAAAAATGGTCAAGGACAGAATATACCTAAGTTCTTTTTACAGTTGTAGATAAAGATGTACGAATATCACAGTGATCTAGCTATTAGTCAATTTTGGGAGATGTGAGAGTTGAGAATGCCAGGGAGTGAGCAGCGCCCCCATATGGGGACCCGCGTGTGTGAGGCCTGGCGAGTCCTTCTCTGAAGTGGCAGGGAAGGGCGCCGAGCGGAGGAGAGAGCCTTGGGGGATGCCGCGCGTGGGGAGACAGACCCTGGCGGCGGCGGCGGCGGCGGCGGCGGCGAGATAAGGCTGTGGGGACACAGCGCGGGGGGAGGGGGACGGGGGGGAGCGGAGGGGAGGGGTGCGGGCGGGGTGGGTGGCGCGGCGGAGGCGTCGTTAAATGTAATGGACGCGCTGACGCAAGGCGACGCCACGGCGCGGGGCCGGGCCGGCCGTGCCGCCAGCGCCCGTGTTCCGCCGCCTACGCGCCGTCGCACGTGATGTCGGCGAACGACACACGGCGCCTCTAGCGTGGTGCGTTCGTCGCACATCAGCCCTTACACCCCAACGCGCCAACGCAATTATCATAAGAATGAGTTTTTTTTTTGGGTCTTTTTTAATTGCATAGACGGGAAAATAGCAAAGCTACCGTATCAATATTTAAGCCCCCTAAGAAGGCTTATTATTTTATTATTATTATTATTATTATTAGTTATTGTTTATTATTATTTTATTATTATTGTGTGTTTGGGTCTTAATTATTCACCAGTATCTTACTTGGTCGTTATGTCAACGCACACAACAGGTATGAATGACAGGGTGTGTGGTTGCTTATGAAGTTCAGATGGCTTATGACAATACGGCATGATGACAAATTACTGTCTTTGGCATATTATATACATTGGCCTGGTATGCCCATAGTGAAGAACACTCCCAAGTGGCCCGAAGTGTCATTTTACGGATCACTACTGGCGCGTAGCTGATATTATTATAGGGCACAGTCTTCACTTTACTGAAGTTCCACTGAGTTGCGACTTCAATAGGCGAGATTGGTATAGCTTCCTGGATGCTTCTCTTGATATTGTTCGCGATATGTTGTGGGATGTGGGTATTTGATAAAATGCGATAAGGAAAACCTGCTGTTGGTTTTATCAATGTGTACGTTATATCTGGTCTATTGCCCAGGCCGACAGGTCTGTTCAGGATAATGGAACGATCCCAGTAGAGTGTGTGCTCACTTAACTTTCAAGCACTTCTGAGGCACTATTTTATAAATACGGCACGGCAAGTGCGAGTAAAGCCCGTTCTGCACGCCAATAAATGGTGTACCTTGCTTCGGCCACTTCTTCATGCCTCTTTTTGTTTCCAACTGTGGCGTGGGCTGCTAATCCACTTGTACGTGTTGGATAGTTTTCGCTTGCAGCCTCACATCTTCTACACTAAGAGTCGGAATGGAATGGTCGAATCTCTCCAGAATGTGTTTTTCTGTAAGTTTTCAATGTTGGTACCACTTGGTCCTGGATAGCTATCATGAATGGCTTCCTGGTCTCCGAAAAGAGGATGCCCCGTGCTTGGAGCCATGCGCCTGCGACGCAGAGATGTCGACTTCTGGTTTACTCAGCTCGTGAGGGTTACCTTCCAATGCAGTGCGTTTGCTTTCCATAAGGTTAGTCTTCTCTCTCGCTCTCTAAATGATTGGTTGAACAGGCGATCCACAGCTTTTTCAAGTTCAGAGAATTATAGTTATTGCAACTGCCGCTCAACTGCGTGCTGAACTCTCCCACTAATGTTCAAGAAGTATCTTCTGAGTGAAGCAATTTGAGAGCTGGTGTAGATTTATGAGATCTACAATACCTCGCCCTCGCCTTGCGACCTTGGAAGGGTAAAACGCTTCAGTACTGTGAAGGCGGGATAGGATGTTTCGGGTTGAGTCATTAGCGTTCGAATTGTTTCGTCTGGACAGGTTGCTCGGGAGGTCGTATTGCTCATTTTAATAACGCAAAGGAAGTATGTCAGCCACTGGAATAACAAATGAATTGATGGCCTGCACAAGGTTTTCTAACGGCAGAGAGTTGAGTTTTTTAAGAGCCCATGCAATCGTTTACACACTTCATTTGTTAGTATATTCTTAGTAATTATTATTATTATTATTATTATTATTATTATTATTACTATTTTTATTATTATTATGTATTTCTTTCGTCTTCGATTACTGATCGTAACTTCTTGATAAAAGAGAAATCTACGATAAAATGTGTTAGAACTTATTCGAATAGCGCGGGAAACCAGTGCCTAATACTCGAATGACGGCAAAGTCGGCAATTGTTCGTAAATGAAACCCGAGAACTAAGAACATGGTCTCCCTCAATGAACTTACGGTCTTTCCTCGCAGAGCGTCATCAGGTCAGTACTTAGATGACAATAGTAGATTTGAATGCTTGCAAGTACTATGCGCAGCCGGGGGGGGGGGGGGTGCTTCCTGGCACTATATGCGAATGTTAACGTTCAAAAGTCCGCCAGAACGTGCGGATGTACTTGTATCGTCCATAAGTCTCCACAACTGTGGACGAAATTGTATTTTGAACTGCTTCTACAGCTGAAAGTGAAATTCTTCTACACTACGGTAATCTGCTGTTTTTCAGTTTAATTCAGCAATTCAGAATAATTCTCATCTCCTTCCCCCTTGGAATGATGTTGCAGGGGCACCGTGACATTTAACAAAATGTAATGCAACAACAATTATTAACTTATTTCCACAATAAAATTGAAAATTTCAATATTATAAAATTTACTCAAATGTTTTTCTAATGTCATTGCATTTAGGTCGCTTTGTACACGCAAGTATGCTTTCCTATAATGGAAGTTTTTGAGAAGGATGACGCAGTCGTATGCCTCAATAAACTAGACTCAATTGCTTCGGAAACTAGCGGGAAAACGATCTAGCGGCCACCGCCGACCTTGTTTGCCGACACCGCAGACCTCCTCCAACAGTGCGCCGAACCTTGGCTGCGGCCTCCCCGTCGCCTCCGTCGTAATATGGGCGCCGCCGCCGCTGCTGCCAACCTATCGAATCCTGGCACGGCCCCCCCCCCCCGCGCGCCGGCCCCCTGGCCCGCCCCTGTTGTCTTTCCATTCGCCGACCCTCATCGCTCTGTCAGCGGCCTCCGCCGCCTCCTGGCACCAGCCGCCCCGCCCACCGCCTCTCGGCCTAATCTCTCGCACCCGCCTCCTCCCCCGCTCCACCTGCGCCGTCGACTGCAGTGGCTCAGCGGCAACGCCGCGTTGCATCATTGTCCTGGAGGTCCTGGACCCGGAAACCCGGGGTGGTTTACTACGACAGCGGCCGGCTGCTCTGAGCGGTGGTTTTCTGTGGTTTCTTCGATCGATACTGTGAATATCGAGGTAGTACCCTAATAAACGTGCCACGAGTTTGTTTTTATTCCTTCCTACTTCTTCCTTCATAATTTTGTACCTTTTCTTCCCTTACCCCCCCCATTTACTTGGATTACTGTATTACACATGTAGGGCAGTATGGAGAATTGTTAGTCCTGGCTGGGGTGGTTCCTCGCTGAAGGAGACACTCGAAGAGGAAAGTGGTCGCAAATCGGCGTGTAATTTGACACCGGATATCACATTTGAGTGAGAAGAACACCGCCACCTTCCAGGATATAACATGTACTTCACTTACAAGAATAATCGTGGTAGATGTCGCGTGTGTAAACCAATACTCGCTCCATCCCTCTACCACAGCTGTTGCTCCTGCCCCATTCACCCCCGCCGATGTCCCTGTCTCTCTGTTTCTCCTTCTTCTTCTCCTTCTCCCCCTCGTCCTTCTCTCCGCCCGCTGCACTTCCTCGCGAGGCGGCGTGCGCAGTCGCCGGCGCGCGCGAGGGACTGCGTCCGTAAAGTTGCTCACTGATCGCGATAAGCCCTTGGGGTAGGTCGTAAATGCCCTCCAAATGAGCCAGAATTACCCCTAACGGAAGATAATCTATCTCGAGAAGGATTCAGCCCGAAGTACCTTCTCAAAAGAATGACATTGATATATAATCCAACATTCGTGATATTTGCATTTCTATTTTATTTTTTCAGAAAATATTTTGCTAGAGTTTTATGTCGGCAAGTTTAAAAACCATGTTCTGACGCATTTTGTTTCTTTGGGCACTGGTCTGTAATGTTGCACGACTGAATGATCTCTTCTATGAATTTTATTAGGGCCACTGTTTTTCTGTAGTTGAGTATTTGTCAATGGTTTCGAAAAAATGTAATAGGGACATTTTTCATGGCGAAGAGTAACAGCATTGGACAGCAATATCGATATCAATAGTGAATGCAGTCGACAAGAGGTCTTGCCTAAATGTTTTGGTCGAAATGGAAGAAGTTCCGAACTATGGCGACGTGGTTTCTATAGTGCTCTAAATTTCCATAATGGCACCATCTCTTTTTTTCTCATTTGTTTTAGTACAGCTGCCCAACGATCACTGATATATATATAAGTACATTATACCATTATTGTAATTGAATAAATATAACCAAGTCTATATGTATAAATAAATATATAAATGCAGATTAATGGCGTCTACCCTACGGTAAAAGTCTGTTAGGTCAAGGTGTATTTATTTCGTTGCTACGGTGGCCTTCTGAATTGCAACGGTGCGCGAGTTTATTACACAAGTTTTTATCTTGTAGAGTGACTATAAGTGTTGCTGCGATGAACTGCTCTAAGGTGGTGCCGCGCTTCCGTAGCAATTATGGCTACCTGTATTGCTTATCTAATCGTAAATTCCAGGTTAAAATTAACAGTACTCTTTCTAATAGCGCGGAGAATAGAGCGCTGTGGTCGGCAATATAAGACAACCAGAGTCTGGCACAGTTGTTAGATCAGTTAATGTTACTAAATGGCAGTTTATCACGATTTAAGTGAGTTGGAAGGCGGGGTTATAGTCGACGCAAGAGAGATGGGGCATAGTATCTCCGAGGTGGCGATGAAATTTGGATTTTCCAGTACGACTATTTTACGAGTGAATCATGAATATCGGGAATCCGGCAAAACATCAAACATTCGGTATTCCTGTAGCCGCAAAAAGATCGTGCAAGAACGGGGCCGTCGACAACTGAGGAGAATCATTATGCGTAACAGAAGTGAAACCCTTCCTCAAATAGCTACAGATTTCAATGCTGGGACATCAACAAGTGTCATTATGCGATCCATTCAACGAGACATTATTGATATGGAGTTTCAGAGCCCAAGGCCCACTCGTGTAACCTTGATCATTACACGACACAAAGCTTTACGCCTTGCATGAGCCCATCAACACCGACATTGGACTGTTGATGACTGGAAACACGTTGCCTGGTCTGACGACTCTCGTTTCACAATGTTGCTAGCGGATGGACATGTACGAGTATGACGACAACCTCGTGAATCCATGGACCCTGCATGTCAACAGTGGACTGTTCAAAATGGTGGAGGATCTGTGATGGTACTAGGCGTGTGCAGTTCGAATGATTTGGGACCCGCAATATGTCTAGATACGACTCTGACAGGTGA